CCTGTGTTTCATCACTTTTCTCCTTGTATTAGATTCTGTCTCCTTTTCTCCTTGTTCTCTATACCCCACTGTCAGTTTCAAATAACTTCAACTCCAGCCCCCATTTCTTTACTCAGCTTGTGTATTCCTGGACCTGTGGGTCAAATTCACAAGCATCTCACTTCAAAGATGCACTAAACTGAGCTCATCTGCCTCTCCCCACTCCCATATCTATCCTTCCTCAAGTGTTCCTATCTCAGTAAATAATTCCTTGCCAATCAATTTTAAAGCAGACATTTCCTTAATATTTCCATGATTTTTCTCACTACTCCCTACCTTCAACATCTCATCAGTGAACATAATCTAGCAGTTCTGCTTTCACATAATCCTTGCATATCCCACCTTCTCTTTCATACTGGCCCAAATCAGAAGCACTTCCCACCAGCCTCCAGAGTAGTCTTCCTGCCATCATTCTTGCCTTATTATATGTTTTTTTTTTCTATAACAGTCACAGTGATCTTAAGACAGAAATCTGATAATGTCATTACTAATTTTAAAATACTTGATTGGTTTCCCTCATCTCCATTAGGACAGTGTGTTCCTAAACTACACTTTCGTCTTATTCTGACCTCTGCTTAACTTTCTTGTCATCATCTTCGACCATCTGTCTCTTCATTGACTCCTCTCTGTGTGAACAACATTGTCATTTCTCTTACCTTGCAAGTGTTACTTCTACTTGGGACATTCCTGGTTATTCTTTAGGTCTTGTTATAGGTCATATCTTCTGAGAAAAACTTTCCCTAATTCCTTTAAGTCGAGCTTAATTTTTTCTTCTATTTCCAACTGCATTTTCCCCCAAACTCTTACTTTTGTTCTTTTTGTGTGGTGTAATAATTTTTCTGTTTAATTGTTGGTATTCCCTCACAGATAGAATACATTTCATCATAACATCCCCTAGTTTTCCACGATCCAGAGCAAAGAGTAAATGTCTAGGAAAGATATGATGAATGGAAAATATAGATGGTAAGTGATTGCATGAAGAATAGAGATTACTATTAGAGAAATATTTTGTAGATTATTGGATTGAAAGCAAAGAGATAGAAGCTTAAGACTTACAAATAAGGAGAGATCACTTTTCCACAGAAAGAAAGAAAAGAAAGATTGGGGGAGTGGAGGACGGAAAAAGAGGGAATTCACATTAAATGGTTTTGGTTGTATCAGTATAGCAAATAATTCCATCTTTGAAGGAGTAAAATGAGACATGCTACATTAGTTGATTTGAAGATAATTAGATGATTTTAAAGACTTTCTGTTAATAAATCGATACTAAGCCACCAAAAGTAAATAAAATATGTCCATAGCAACACTAAGATTCTTTTTTTAAGGATAAACAGCCTGAGTTAATAAATAGCACTTCTATTTACTATGATTCTATTATTTTCATCATCCTTGCTTAGATACAGGGGCACAGGAAATAAGTTCTGGGGTTATGTAAGGCAGGTGCAGTAGAGATTCAGGAGGCCAAGAGTTTCTAAGATAGCAGGGAAGACAATTAGAATGATTGATTAGAATGTTTGGATTGAAGAGGGGAACTCACCAGGGAAGAGAGGACTAGATTGAGAGAATAAGAGGAGTAGTAAGGGCCAAATGCAGTAAGGAAGGGCAAGGCAAAATTTGAGCAATTGAAGAAGTAGAGAATGTATCATGACAAAAGGTTTTGACCATAGACAAGATTTTCTAAATTTCATAGTAGAAGAGAATGACTCCTTTTAAATTTTTTGATTTAACTGATTTTTGATTTAACAGTTTAACTGGAGACCTATTTTATTTTGAAGTAGAAATGAATGTTTTTCCAAGTTGAGTGTATCCTAAAGGTCTTAGAGGCAAGCTACATTATACTGACATTGTTTTTCTTTGAGAACCTTTTTTATTATAATAAATTTGTCTCTTCATTTTCTATGTGTGGCTTATACTTGACTATATCTGAAGCTATGTCAGACTGTTACTCACCTACAAAGCCTCTGTGCCTGTAATATCAGATATTGGAGGAGAGATTATTATTGAAGGCTCTTTCAAGAATGAATGGGCTTGATAACTTACTTGAATAATTTCACACTAGAGTCCACATTTGGAAATGATAATTTTCTTGACATATTTTAGAGAGGGAAACATGTTCTTGATAGCACCTTCAGTTGTGCTATCAAGCTAAGAGAGTATCTGTGATATCGTTTGCTTTATTGTCATTTTGTGCTTCTAACATGAGTTTTGCCTGATTATAGCTTTCTGAGAACAAGGGATATATATTATTCATTTTGATTTCTACATAGTGTCTTACATGTATTTGTGAGCAATTACAATAGCTGGATTTAATTACCTGAAATTCTTTAAGTTATACAAGTGTTTCTGTGAACAATTACTCTAATTTGGGAGGTAATATTAGAACAACTTCTCTCCATTACTCTAGTTTAAAGCAGAAGAATGTATGGTTTTTCATTCTAATTCTGTAGCTGGATTATAATGAGATCTCCAAATGTAGTCTGTGATTGAGGCTCCCTTTAACTATTATCATAATGATGATAATATAATTCATTTGTTAGCATTTTGCTAAGTTGCTTCAATGCACTATTCACATTTAAAGTATTTGTTTTTCTATGAACTATTTATGATGGAAAAAGTGAATAGAATACAGTTTGAAATAAACCCAGTGTAAAAATTAGTCATCTGAGATTTGGTAATTAAGAGCCTTACCAAAAAGTCACAAAAAGTGCAAGTGTGACTGAGCTGAATTGTTTGACATGTAAGTTTGTGTTCTGTGTGTGCACACACAAACACACACACGGAACACTGCATTTCTAGGAGCCCAACTTCATCAGTAGGATAGTAATTCTCTGATTTCTAACATACCAATTCCTACTGTGTCACACTACTTATTCTGCTCACCAATCCTCATGAGACACAAACAAAAAATACAAACATACCCATATATATGAACAGGTAAAAATTCGTGAAGAAAAACAAGTTTTGTAGCAAGTATTAAGATTAAAATAATGTGTTATTTTATGTATCTTATAAAGTTCTGGTGCTGAGTCCAACTTTTAAAAGTTATTTCCCTACTCTTATTCCAGTGGCACACTGAACTTGAAATATGAATAGGTAATAAATTGTACAATTAACATTACTTACAGAGTCTGTATAATTTGCCTGAGAAGGATAGTGGAGTATAGCCCTAAGTGCATGGTCTGAGAGCAAATGTTAAACAAAGGGTACAAGCATAGAATACATGATAATGATGATTATGCACAGGTGTAATGATTAGGACTCAATAACATGGATAAAACTAGTTTCAGGGTTCTGACCTCTTCCCTGATATCTCAAGTATGGTACTGACTGACCTATGTGCGCATATTTCATTGCTGACTTGATAACATAATACACAATGGGAGTAAAAGTAGATTATCGTGAGAATTTAAATACCTCAGCAATGTCCTCAGTGCTTTCAGTAAGATAAATTCAGCTTCTTAGTATATTACATCTTAAAATCAGTGAGGCTGCTACATACTTTTATGTGTCTGTATGAGTCACAACCATATCATCCCAGGTATTTACAAAAGTTTTTTTTTAATGAGGCTCTAAACATTGCTAATATATGTTCTGAGTAATCTAGGCAGTCTCTCCTCCCTGCCCCCCTTTTTTTCTCTCTTTCCCTTCTTACACAAATATTCACTGAATGCCAGCTGTGTTTTAACCTTTAGGATCATAGCACCAAACAAAACATGCCAAGTCCTTGGAACTCATATTCCATTCGGGTGGGGAGAGAAACAGACAATAAACAAATGAAGATTAGAAACAGAGAAAGACTGAGAGATCACAGGTGTTTAATAATGTTAGGAAGAAAAATAATTCATGAAAATTAATAACTTAAAAGTGAGGATTTCAAGTGCTTTAAATTAGGTAGTCAACAGAGATCTCTCTGATAATGCAATATTTGAACAAAGACCTAAGTAAAAGTAGGAATTTAGTGATTCATTATAATACATGAGCTCAGAAAGTACACAGGGAGGAAGATCTGAGGCAGGAATGAGAGTACTTGACTTATTTGAAAACCAGGAAGGGGCTGATATGGGGATGGTATGGCAGGCTAGGAACAAGTTAGGTAAGGAGAATAGGTAGAAGAAAGACTTGTGAGGTAGTAGGGACCGGATCATAAATGACATCCGGTCACAGGGAAGAGTGTATATTTTATTGTGAATAATTTGGAAAGATATATGAGGGGTTAGAGAAGGAAGTGACATGCCACAGGATCACTCTGACTAGCATGGAGAAATAGAACACACTTGATGGTAAGGTAGAAACAGGGAGTCTGCTAGGAATCCATCGCTGGCCATGGTGATATGGGAGAGGCTGGTCATGGAGGATGTGGTAAGAAAAGATGATGGATGTGCTGATAGAATGTTGGCTGTGAGAGAGAGGACTCAAGGGTGGCTCCAGAATACCTAGGTGACTTGAGGACCTGGTAAATAATGTTGCTATTTACTGAGATGGAGAAGAACATGAGCAGATGTGGTGTTTTGTTGTTTTATTTGGATCACATCTCTCTCCTCCCATCCAATCTTTGCTGGACACTAGAACAGACCATTTTGTACTTTGATTTAAAAGTATCTTATGCTTCAAAGGAAGAATAACAATGATGATGGCAATAAGCAATATTTGATAGCATTTCCAATTTGCAAAATATTTTAATATCCTGTAATGCATTTTAACTATGTGGTCACACTGAGGATTTCTACACTGACTTCTAACTTCCCAAAAGAGAAAAAATAAAGATTTTTTTTGAGATATAAGGTGATTTGTAACTTACTTCAAAGTACATAAAGAATAATTTATATGTACTGAAAACTGTGACCTAAGGAAAAATTAGTTCTTGAAATACATCAAATGCAAGAGAAGAGAAAGTGAAAGTGAACTGTAATGAATGGTATTTTATCTGTGAATTAATATATATGCTGTAATTTGTCTCTCAGATCCAAGGTTCATTAGTGCCCACCTCATCCCAGAAAGTGACAACCCTGAAGACGACAAAGTATATTTTTTCTTCCGTGAAAATGCGATAGATGGAGAACACACTGGAAAAGCCACTCATGCTAGAATAGGTCAGATATGCAAGGTGAGGTAAAAAAAAAAAAAAAACACTCAAGGAGGATATCATTGTCTAATCATGGTTTTCTTTTTCTTCTCTTCCTATATGCAAGTATACTGAAAACTATAGCTGCAAATTTTGACTGATCATTATAAATATTTAAATGGTAATGAATGATTGAAAACATACTTGTTAATTGGTAACTCTTCACAGGTAAACAAACAGGTAGAAATTGTGATACATTATTTCACATTTATGTTAAACAGTCTTCCTTTGAAATTTTAAAGAAATACAGTTTTTTAAATATTTATCTTTGAGAGAGAGAGAGAGAGAAAGAGAGAGAGCCCTCCAGTGGAGGAGGGCCAGAGAGAGAGAGGGAGATGCAGAATCCCGAGCAGGCCCTAGGCTCTGAGCTGTCAACACATAGCCCAAGGCAGGGCTTGAACTCTTGAACAGAGAGATCATGACCTGAGCAGAATTCAGATCCTTCACTGACTAAACCACCAAGGTGCCCCAAGAAATACAATTTTTTCACGTTACCTAGGAGAACATATTTTTTGTATTTTCACACATAGCACAGTTTCCTACAGTATGTAAGAGTGAATGGATATTTGCTGTTGGAATTAGCTAAAACATTGATATAAGAGAGAAAAGTGTTAAAGCTTAATTTTATCAATTATAACATCCTATATACATTTTTGGAACACATACATATAGTTTTGAGGCTCTGAACTTTGAACAATTCATTTACTGTGTAGCAAAAAATTGGATATGGTATTACATTATAATATCAGATATATAGAATAAAATTAATGTTTATGGATTAATTAGTATTAGTCTGAAGATATGATAACAGTACCCTTCTTTCCCTCTACAGAGTATAGTGCAGTATATATGCAGTATGAATAAAACTAACTGCTATTATATATTCACGCACCTTTCATCTCAAGAAAATCACAAAGCTAGATTCAATAATTATCTTCAGTGGCCTTTTCTCTTTTTAAGAAAATATGAAATTTTTGAAAATCGCTACTGGGGGGATTGGTCAGCATCTTTTCTACTTCAATCATAATGTAATTATTTATCTCTAGTATATTAAGTTACTGGAAAAATCAAAGGTTTTAACAATGTGGAGACATACAAAAATATGAGCAATATATGAGAATCTGTTCTCCACAAAGTATAAATCACATTTAAAAGCCTTATTTATAGGGTTAAAAACATCTTTATAGTATATAGAATTATATCAACAAAATATAAATCATTGTTATGTTTTTGAAGGAACACATATGTTCCTTCAAATTTATGCACATAAATATTATTTTAAAAGACCCTAAGTTACCAGTAAATACATACGATCATAATAGAACTTATTGCTAAATTTAACTTAAGTTAAAATTTAGTTTCCTTTTCAGTGAGGAGGTATTTTTTAAAAATATTTTCTCTAGAATGAATTTTCTTTATTAAGGTTTATGCAAATATTTTTTCACTCTTCTTTTTGTAAATTAGAAATTGTTGTAGCTGTTTAAGCTTATAAAATATTCGATGCTGATTTGCTTTTCTTTGGAATCTCTGCAGTATGTGTTATAAGGTGTGCATTTATTCTTCCTACAATAAATACTCATTAAGAGCCTATTATGTGTCAGTATGTAGTGTTTTAAGTTATTCCGTGAAAAAAGTTTGAGTGAATAGACTTGCCCTACAATATAATAATAAAGCATAGTTACTTTTATCTGTGGTATAATTGTTTGTATTTTGAAAAAATGAGGAAATTGTATCTCTGTTTCAAGATACAAAGATAAGAGAAATATTTGAAATTATCATTCACATGCACCTTTCCTAAAATCAATGTTGTCTCCTTTCAGAATGACTTTGGGGGTCACAGAAGTCTGGTGAACAAGTGGACAACATTCCTCAAAGCCCGACTTATTTGCTCAGTGCCAGGACCAAATGGCATTGACACTCATTTTGATGAATTGCGTAAGTAGCTGATGATATGGGACAGATATTTATTCGGACTTTGTCATAACCACCAAAGTGCAACTTTTCCTAATTTTGTTTTTAAACAGAGGATGTATTCCTTATGAATTCTAAAGATCCTAAGAATCCAATTGTCTATGGGGTGTTTACAACTTCCAGGTAAACAGCTTTTTACTATCTTACTATCAAAGAAACCTCATGTCCTTTAGGTGCTTTTCAAGTATCCGTAGTTTGGAAAATATATTTTTGAAAGAACATTGGCTTAACCTTTGAGCTGTTGTAGATTCTTAGATGGCTGATATAAGTTATGACCTAAAATAGTTTTTTTAGAAAAATAAATTTTAGCAAAGAATATCATCACTATAAATAGAATGATGAAAAATGTATCATATCCTCAGTATAGCTTTGACTTTAAAATTTGAATGAAATGTAGACTATTCTAAAAAGCTGAAATCTGATCAGACTTTGTAGTGCTATAAATTACAAGTGCAACACTCTTTCCTCTCCTTTCTCTTCCCCTTTTTCCTCCCTCATTCTCTCCCTCCCTCCCTCGCTTCCTCCTTCCCCTTTTCCTCACTCTCCTCCCTTCTCCATTCCCCATCTTCCCAAGGCTCTTGCTGTCAATCGAGCAGTAATTATCTCTTGGCTGTCATATTCAGTATAAAATTTATATTACCTGGAGTTGTTAAATTTAAACAGACATTAATCCATTTCTTCTGCTTTCTCATTACTTAGGTCAGTGGTTCTCAAACAGCCTCTGAGCATCCATGAGAATCAGCCAGTTTCTGAATCATTAAGATTAGAATGGGGCCTAAGTACTTTCTATTCTATTATGAAAATGCTGTTATAAATTCTATAAATATTTACTGAGATTTCCTGTGTGTCAGGTACCATGAAGTATGTAACTGATGTTACAGAAAAGCAGCAGGGCATCTTTCTTCCCTCATGAAGCTTGCGTTCTACCAGACATTGTCTATGTGGAGCAGTTTCCAGTAATAGACTGTTAAAAGCGCATGTTTTTCACTTGATATGATTTATATATAATTTTCTATAGTGAGAGATTGGTTAAAAGATAAGCATTCCATATTTTAAGTGTGCACAACTGTTGTATATCTTTGTATAAATACATCTTTCAGGCTGTATTTATAGAAGTACAATAAAATGGAAAATTGTGGCAGCACATGGCAAACTTCCAGTTTGTTTCAAGTACCTGATTTTTGTCAAGCAAAATGATGGGGATAATTGCTCTAATATTCCACTTTGAGTAGGATGTAACAGCTACTAACTTAAAACAATTTTCTGAGTTAAAAAGAGATTATTTTAAGTGCCTTCACACAAATCAGACTCTGTTGCTTGCTCTAATGCTTTTGGTCATTTGGGAGTTAAAAATAATATAATGTGAAACATCATTTGACATTAACTATTCATTTTCTACAGCAGTTTCAGCTCCACAAATGTTTCAGCTTAAACATTCTTGCTTGCTTAAAAATTCTCTGGTTTCAGTATTCATGCTGGAGGTTTAACATATTACCAAAGTTTATATCTTTATTTCTATTTGATATCAAAATTAAATATTGCTTTTTAAAAGGTCTACATGTTTTCCCACTGACGTTTATGTATATTAATGTGTGCATCTTCATATCATATATTGTCTATATATTATATAAATATGTGTACTATGAGTGTTAATAATGGTTTTATCTGTGTCTTCTATTTTTGAGCAGTCATAATTTGTTCTCGTGTATTGGCAAAATATATATGCATGACTAAAAAATATTGCAACCACTATTTGAGATTGAATCTATGTTCAAGTTTTAATAATTGATATCTAATATTTAAGAACCTAGAACAACTTAACATTTGTCTTGCCATTGTATGAAGATGAAAATCTGTTGTTGTTTTTTTCTGTCTCTCTTTTTTAGTAACATCTTCAAGGGGTCCGCTGTGTGTATGTATAGCATGAGTGATGTGAGAAGGGTGTTCCTTGGTCCATATGCTCACAGGGATGGTCCCAACTATCAGTGGGTGCCTTACCAAGGAAGAGTCCCTTACCCACGACCAGGAACTGTAAGTGGTCTAGGTTTTTAAAATACCAGATGTATAAATTTCTCCTAAAGGTTTAAAAAATGTTGGTACAAACGTATTAACTACAGATAATGTAAAACAAAGGTGACAAGACTATAAACAACAGAAAGCAAGGATATTCTATGATATTGTGGAATTCTACATTTAAAAGCATGTTCTTTAGCAACATTAGTGGTTAAACTCAGAGCTTACCAGTTACTAATAACCATAAAATTTGAGAAATAGAAACTAAACGGATAGACTTATTTATTTTCTTTTCCAAAAGCAGGTTTCATGGAGAACTGAAACAATTGGGATTCATCTCAACTTGTTGCCCCTAATTAGAATGAGAGCTTCAAGGATTGACCATTAAATAGGAGGATGATATGTTTTAAATTGGTATTATTTTCCCATGGGAATGGGACACACCCCTCAAATAGGTAAAGGAAATATACAGGCAAGTCTCATAGAGCAGGGCTGAGATACTTTAACAGACACTGTCTGCTCTCGCTGACCTCTTTTTTCCCTCCAGCAACCCCGGGGCACATTCAGGCCTAAAGAAAATTGGAGAAAAGTCAAAATAAAACCAACTTTGAATCTGCAATTTAAAGTAGGGCAAAAAAAAAAAAAAAAGAAGAAGAAAACATGGTAGGAAGTGAGTGACCTTAGAAGTGGTGTCCTAGTACCTGCACCGATGTGCAGCTCTCATCCTCAGAGTCTTTAAGGAAATGATTTCACGTGATGCAAAAACTTAGATTTGAAGTTTAGCCACTGCTGTAATTTTACTTCAGTTTTGTTTCTTCTGTTAAATTCAAGTAAATTATGTTTTATATATTTTATTAAATATGAGGATTGTAATCTCATATTCTTCTATTTATAAACTTCCTTATGAGCAAATTGAAAAGTTCCAATTTTATAAATATTACTTCTAGCTGATGGTACTTGTGGATAAAATACCTGCAGAGGCTTTTAGAATAATGAACTAATAAGATGAAATATTGACTATATAAAGTCAAATGGGTTTTATAAAAAAGCACAAGATATTTACTCCATTTCTTAATGGCAAACTGCTTTTTCTTGGTTAGTGATGAGTTTAATATCCCTATGGCTCATTAATGCCAGTGTATTCTAAACATAACCTGACTCTAGGTTTCACTTCAGCAGCCTTGGTGGAATTCCTTCAGCATGCTAGATAGTGTACTACTATTTGGAGATACAAGGGTTTTGATCTGAATTTGTACTCCACATATTTGTGATTAAGGATAGCCATTGGAAATTATTGTGTGCCAGACCCTCTTCTAAGAAATTTTTGTTTATATATATTATATTCAGTAGTGCAACTCTTGCTCCCATTTCACAGATGAGGACTCTGAGGCAATGAGAGGAACCAGGATTCAGTTCAGGCAGTTTGATTCTAGAGCTGTGTTCTCACTCATTCACAGAGAGTTGTTAAAACGTGAGATAAAAAGTCAGCAGTATGCATCAGCTGTTAAAGACAGAAGCAGAAAGCATTGCCAAATCTAGGAATTAGGAAGTGGCCAAGCAGAAGGACAAAACTCTAACTCTGTGACTAAAATTCACTTGAATGAGTTCATTAATTCTAAAAAGTGGCAGCTGAGAATAACCATTTTGCAAACACTAGTGGAGAAAAACATACTAAGTGAAACATATTACATTAAATAAGTAGCTTTATAATTTACTTAAAAAGTAATCGCTTAAATCCTTTAACTGTTATATTAATATATTAAGTGTGTGTGTCTATATATACAACATATATATACATGCATATATATTCAGAGATAGATACTCTTCCCATTTCAAAGCAAGTTTATTTATTTCACTTATCATGAATTATTTATGTTCTGTATCAAGGTAATGGCAAAGAACATTGATTTCTCCTAAGCCTCTTGTAAGATCAAAAACTTCTCTTAATTAAAGTTCAGCTCTCAAGCTCTTACATTAAATGGAAAAAATTACTTAGGTATAAGACAAAAAGCCAGAGACTGGAGATGTTGTACTTTGAATGCTTCTATCACATAATTAACTGCAGTGAAAAGACACATGGTGAAATCTGAATTTTTTTCATTTTTGTTTTATTGCCTTATATGGAGTGTTTATAATTCAGAGGTGATGTTATGCCAGTGTACCACAGTGTTTCCTTTCTGGTTCTCTGTAGCCATCATCTGTTCAGCTCGGTCTACTCGAATTGGTCAGTTTCACTGCCATGCAGATCGTTAAATGCTTTTTTAAGTTTATTTATTTATTTTGAGAGAGAGAGGGAGACCATGAACATGGGAGGGGAGGAGAAAGAGCAAGAGGGAGATATTCCAACCAGGCTCCACACTGTCAGCACAGAGCCCTGTGTGCGACTCAAACTCAAGAAACGGGAGATAATGACCAGAGCCAAAACAAGAGTTGGACATTTAACTGACTGAGCCACTCAGACACCTCCAGATTGCTAAACACTTTACATAACACATTTCCTTTTCCTTAAAATTAATTTTTAATGAAAATTTTTAATGAAAAAGGGTACTGTTGATATTTTCTGTGATTATTTTTCAGGATTATGTTAGAGGGGTGACTGGGTGGGTCAGTCACTTAAGCGTCTGACTCTTGATTTCAGCTCAAGTCATGATCTCACGACTTGTGGGTTCAAGTTCTGCATTGGGCTCTGTGGTGACAATGTGGAGCCTGCTTGAGATTGTCTCTCTCCCTTTCTCTCACTCCTCCTCAATGCATGCAAATGCTCCCTCTCTCTCTAAAAATAAACTTACAAAAAAGAAAGAGTAGTTTATGTTGTCTCTTAGCTTATCAAGAATTATAAGTGATTATAAATATAATCATTTAAGCATGATGCCCTGGGGGGATAAATTTACCCAAGAGAGTTATTCTGAGATTCTCTCATCTGATTATTAATTGAATTTAGTTGTAACATATTCCATTTCTCATTTCAAATATTGTCTCATATCAGTAAAATGTATTGTGTTGCCACTGATAGAACGTCAGACTCCTGTACACTGCATTCATTAGCTGCCTTTGTAATTTTAGGTAAGAAATGGAGACATAACTAAATCCCATTGAGACTTTTATGCTTAGGAAATATATACTCTATATTACATCTATTAATTTAAGTAATATTTTTTAGTTTTTCAGTTACTTAACTTTAGAGTAATAATGACATGTTAGATTTAGTTTATGATTATTGAGGTTATAAATTATTATATAATTTATAGTTCTATTCACTATATTTTAATCAAAAGCTCTTCTTCTCTTTATCTTAATAGTGTCCCAGTAAAACGTTTGGTGGGTTTGACTCTACAAAAGACCTTCCTGATGATGTGATAACATTTGCAAGAAGTCATCCTGCTATGTACAATCCAGTGTTTCCTATTAATAACCGGCCAATAATGATCAAAACAGATGTCAATTATCAATTTACACAAATTGTGGTAGATCGAGTGGATGCAGAAGATGGCCAATATGATGTTATGTTTATTGGAACAGGTAATTGTTTTTAATTTTAGCTCTGGATTTCCTTCCAGACCTTTGTTTAACCTACTGAGTATACAAAGAACTGAAGGAAGTTTTGCTAGTCACTGACACATAGAGTTAACCTCTAATACATGACCAAAAAACCTGAACATCTACCATGACAGTGTGTTATTAAAAAGTAATAAGTTGAGGTATATTTAAACAAAATCTCCTTTACAATCAAAGTTGCTTCATGCAATTAGGTAAGGCTAATTATTCAGTAAACACTCAGTGTCTAGAAGTAAATCCTAACTCTTTTCTGTCCATTGACTTTTTAGATGAGGATATATTGCTTAAACCATGCCTAAAACTCCCAAGACATTCGATAATGCTTCTGGGCTATATTGGTGCAAAATTAGCTAACTTTAAAATTATCATAGTGTGCAAATCTTCTAGCAAATCAACTTTGGCAATACAATTTGTTTAGTGTTTTTGCCATACAATGAGAGAAAACAAAACAAAACAAGACTTTCATCAGTGGAAGAACAAAATGGACCTAAAGAATCATCAGGGACATTTTAGGTTCATTTCTACAGAAATTTAACAATATATTTTTACTAACTCCATGGTTAGAAACAAACTTTTTGCACATATATTTTCAGAATGAATCCCATTGTATTATGACATATTTTCCCCCAGTCTCTTTATTAATACTGTTTTGAAAGCACCAGTTACAAACCCGAAACTTGCTATTTAGGGTCAGATTCCAAGGCAATAAATTCCTCATCTCCATTAGCATTGTTAACTGACATAAATCAATGCGAAGCAGAGTGACCGCTCCACTGAAACTTTGTGTAATAGCATGTCTTTTCCCTGGGTGAGGAACAGAGATAAAAAAGCTGAATTAATACAGTGGGATGGCAACTGTGTGGTAACTTTAACTTTAAAGACGTAAAGTTTTGTAATGAAATTGTGAGCTGCATATGTTATTGGGTGGAACAGTGTCAGGTTCTGAGCAAGAGTGCAGTCTGCTTTTATGAGTGAGAGCGTTTACCAAATCAAAGAGTCCCAAAGAGACTCCGAGCTTGATAAAAGTCAGTGAATTCCAAGTATCAACTTCTGGTTATGTAAATCTTTAGAACCTGTAAGATGATAGGGTTTGTCTTCAGTAAATATTAGTTTATCAATTTAATATCAAAGTATAATTAGATCTATCTACAGAGTAGTTTATTCAATAATGTTTTTCTTCACTCTGGCCTAAACTGTTGAGAAGTCCCTCACTCATTGTCGATGAAACAGAAGCTTGCTTCCGGCTATTTGACCATAGAAATCCGATCATGAGTTTTTAATTCATTTTGGACCCAAGCTGTCTTTAAAGGGACCAATTTCATGAGCATGTTGAATGTCTGAAGATGCGGATGGCTATCGGTCAGCACAGACCAGGGTCATCTGTCAGCAAAGTAAATTGATTACAGTAATTTTATCTTTTAACTGAGTTGCACATCATAGTGTATTGATCCTACTTGAGTAATTTGATTCAATTTGTGTGAAATTGTTTGAAATACTACTCAGTAAAACTAGATCTGGAACACAGATAAAGTTCTATTTGGATACTAGAAACCCATCAGAGGCACTGAATAGATTAACCTAATTTACCTTTAATCTTTGGTGTTATGAGTAGTCTAAAATCCTATAAACAGAGAAGTAACCTCTTAACAAAGGGCACTTTTTTTTCACTTTACAAGATATACACTATCAACTTTTCTTTCTTGTTTTTTTTTTTTTTTTCTCACTAGCAACTTTTCTTGTCTCATATAGCACATTACATTGATGCCTGGAAAATGGTTATCAATGGGTTATTCAGTGAATACAGTGAATTATTTTTCTGGTGTAACTTATTCGTTACTGGTATGGTTCTCTTTACAAATAATGAGTCAGTTGAACTTGATTAAAATGAGCCAACTGAGGCTAAAAATAATTGATCAACTGATCAGAATTGGAATGTTGAAGAGTCCATACCGGAAAAAAAAATCTTCTAAACACAATTTAGAGTAAAAGCAACAGCTCTTTTCCTTAAAACAATTTGTCTCTTTTCATAACGAAAATTAGAATAAACAGTGCTTTAAATCTCTATACCATGTATTCAGTTTAATAGTTTTTATGATATATGCTCTGGAATTTAAATTCCTTGAGTACTCTAAAATTGATTATTGAAGACGTTAATCAAACCATTTTGTTAACCAAAGTTGATTAATCAATATTGAGAAACTACCGGAACAGGTAATCCTAGGTGTTCATTTTGAGAAATCAAGTTATTGTCATTCATCACGTAATGGTCATTGAGCTGTCCTTAGGGGCCTGTGAGGACTGCAGGCTTCCAGGTGCCTAGAGGATGAGCAGCAGGCTCAGACCACTCCTGTCGCTTGACAGCATTCCTTGCATTTTCCATCTACATTAAATCTTCACAGGTAGTCCTAGTTTCACAACAGAAGTGGAAAAACCTGCCAAATCAACTGGCATTATTATATTTTTCCAGAGACACCTGACAATAAAGGTTAAAAATTTAAAAAAAAAACATAATTCAACCTAGTTATTACTATATATATAGATATTTTGATAATTTTTCAAGTTCAGGATAACACCATTTTCAAAGCTTCATGTATTTCTAAAAGTTCAGTTATTTTCATTGCACAGCTATGTTCATACTTCATCTAGTTTCATGAAATGCATTTGAATATATATTTTACCAATGCTGTAACAAAAAAATAAAAATAAAAGCAAGACTGAGGTCAAAATGTAATTTCTGGTCAAATACTGTTTCCATTCATTGACATTAACTTTTGTTCAGATCTATTTAAACTGTGTTCTCCCCCTCCACTTTCTTTCAAAGATGTTGGGACCGTTCTTAAAGTAGTTTCAATTCCTAAGGAGACTTGGCATGATTTAGAAGAAGTTCTGCTGGAAGAAATGACAGTTTTTCGGGTGAGTGCTGCTTAATTTCAAGTGTCAACAAGTTCACTTGTATGTCTTTCCCCCAGGACAGCTGCACACTGAACTTGGTATGGACAAGTAGTCTAGCATACCCTTCTAATTAGCTTGTCAATTAGAAAGCCAGACACTAGTCAAAATAAACCTTGAAACTTTCAATGCTAGTTAAATCTAAAAATGTATGGAAATATATTCTTGGCTCATATTTTGTTTTCTCAATAACAAAGTATATGATTTACATTTTATACTATTTATGTAATTTACCTCAATGAATAAACTCATGTTGCTTCCCCCCATCTCTTCTTTCATGCTTTATGATATAAAGAATGATAGGTAACTTCCATGAGTGTATTAAGAGAAAAATACATTCAGAATGACAGGAGAATGAAGATTTCTCATTTTGTCTAGCTTATTCATGAATTGTTTTATAATATTTTCTTAAAGAAATAATTTGTTAGCAAAAAAATGTTTGAGATTTTAAATCACTGGTGTCAAATTTGTTATGGGTTCCTAGTCTACACACTTAAGGAATATATAGATATTTGTTCCTTTGTCCAGAATCATGGATGGCCTGGGTAAATTTATATAGGATTCGGGGTAGAGGCAGTAGAATATGGGTTGAAATGAGAGCCAAGAACTGAAGAGAATAACATACACCATAATGTCTGTTGTTTCTTTCAGATAACTTGCTAATGGGGAGAGTTTAAATCACAGTATACCTTGATATAAATTATTAATGAGCTATGACAGGGAAATAAATGCTCATAAAAGGCATTACTTCAATTTTTAAATAAAAGAATAATGCAAACATTTAAGACACTCATAACTGCAAAATGAACTAGAATTAGAAGACAAAAAATGAGAAAACATTGACTCTGGTCTCACAACTTAAAATGATCTCATTTAGTCTCCAGGTGTCCCACATACTTTAAGTTTTTCAGTTGATTAAATATTTTAATTGTGAGCAAAGACTTACTAAGACTTTTCTTAGCCCCATAGTTCTAGATCATTTTGTTTAACCCAGTAGTGCTCTTGGTCACTATTCAGCAATATTTTGAAGAAAAAGTAGAATATGGCAAGTTCTTAATATACACTCACACAATTAAAATTATGATCAGCACTGAAACAAATAACTGGTAAATCATGACATGGATACCTTGTAATAACAACTAAACGGTGTTCTGGTGGAAGGACTTTAGGCGCTTCAGTCATATCTCCTTAGCATTTTGGGGGAACACTTATATGGTCTCTTTGAGCTTCCCCATCAGCGAAACAGCAGGTGTAATACCTACTTCACAAGGAAGCTAGGAATCTGCCTTTGGCTTAGATCATGATCTCTGGATTTGTGAGTTCAAGACCCTTATTGGTTGAGCTCGAGCCTGCTTCATGTGAACATGAGCATCACTTAGGGTGAGGTCATGCCCTCTTTCAGGTGAGTGTGTGCCTGCTTCGGATGAGCCCACTTCTCTCTTTCTCTCTTTGTTCCTTGTGAGATTCTCTCTTTCTCTCCCCCTGTCTCTGCTCCTCACTCACTTGTGCCGTCTCTCTTTGTCAAACAACAAAACAAAATAAAACAAGTAAGCTAGAAGAATTAAAGACACTTACATAAAGCATGCCGGATAGTGCCAGGTACCATGCTCAGAATTTCATTCATACAATTGAATTGTTTTAGCTTAGCTGCACTGAGAGTAAGCCACATTCCAGTACACTTTGCTATTAATTTTTGGTTTAAGTTTTCAAAATAATAAAAATCATCATAATTCTATTCTGACTTTTAAAGTCTTAAACTTTGGCCTTATTTTGTGTCTCTTATAGAGTAATAATTAATTATACTAATTATAATATAATTGTATATAATATAATATAATTAATTAATTATAATAATATAATAACTCTTGTTCACTAAGTGCCATTTCAGTTTCAGTATTTATATATTGATTCACTAGTCTGTGAATTCAAAAATACAATTATCCAAATGGACTGTGTTAATAATATAGAGTCCATCTAGATTTAGCAAATTGCTAAGGCACTAAGGGGTGAATAAGGAAAGTGTTGTCTTGTGTTCATTGTTGTGTCTCCAGTGCCTAAAATATGTTTTCATCTAGCATCTATTAAAGGAATGAAGGAATCAATATTTTTTAACTTAAATCCAAGTTAGTTAACATATAGTGTAATAATGGTTTCAAGAGTAGAATTTAATGATTCATCACTTATATATAGCACCCAGTGCTCACCCCAACAAGTGCCCTCCTCAATGCCAATCACCCATTTAGCCCATTACCCCACCCAATACCCCTCCAGCAATCCTCAGTTTGCTCTCTGTATTTAAGAGCCTCTAAATGGTTTGCCTCCCTCTCTGTTTTTATCTTAATTTTTCTTCCCTTCCCCTTGTTCATCTGTTTTGTTTCTTAAATTCCACTTATGAATGAAATAATATGATATTTATCTTTCTCTGACTTATTTTGCTTAGCATAATACCTCTAGGTCCATCCATGTTGCAAATGTCAGAATTTCATTCTTTTTGATCACTGAGTAATATTCCGGTAATCAGTATTGTTGAAAAAATGCAATATGAGAAAGTAAAGAGTTAGTGGTCTTCCTCAGGGAGACCATTCTTAAAGTGAGGTGCCCAAATATGTGGAAAAGAAACTGGGAACAGCAACAAGTTATCCTACTGGTTATATCCCATAGTATTCTTTAGTGGAAAGAAAAAAAATGTACCAACTCTATATATTTAGAAATTTATATTACAAGTGAAGTTACAGGAGATATTGAAATATTATGTTAACTTAAAATATGTTTATTATTTCTAGAATCTCTTACTTTTGTATTTGTCATGGTTCCTTTGTGAATTTCCCTTCATTTGTTGTATAGTTTATTCCCCATGTCTCTATGATCTTAAGGCTATATTTCATATCTCAGCTATGCTCTATTTTAAAATTCTAGTTTAAAAGATATTAATTTAAGCTAATCTATTAAATGATTTAACAAAATCTTGACTGGTTGAAAGCCACCAGTGTTGCGAGCACAAATATTTAATATCTACTAGATTTTGTTAATATTTTGTAGTTTCCAGAGAAATACTCAACTGAATTAAACCTGTGATAACTATTGAATGACATTTTTGTGGTTTTTAAGATATCATTGATCAGTCACTGTCACATATAAGTTTGTAATGTTATGCTGGTACACAAGTGATTTTTTGAATTTACGATTTTGTAAAAAGATTCTTTGCAACCTGGGACACATCTCCTTCCATAGATAAATGCTCCAGTTCTCTCCCATATTCTCTGCTATGCATTATTGTCATTATTATTTCTTTGGCACTCAAGTAGACAAAACATATTTGGGCAGAGTTTAGAGAAATATTTACTTTTAACATTCTATTCTATCAGGCAGAGTTCATATATATATTGTGGTCTAGCAATTGGAATATTTCACTGTCAAACTTTGTTTAATTTTGTAGTGGGAGGGAAAAAAAACACAACACATTAAAGCAATTGCTATATACAGTGAAGCAAGCAGAGATATGTTACAGTTTCTTTATTTCTATTTAAGCCTGGCATGTCATTCCATTTAACATAAAATAAAATTTAAAAGTGTTAACCTGAGCATAACAGTATTTTGACAAAGTAAATAGACAAGGAACAAATTTAGACTCATGGTAGTATCTGATACTCTTGGATTTTAATGTCAACCAACAAGTTAATTTTACCAAAATATCATCTCCAGGAGACCATGTTCATTATGTGCTCTTGCTAGGCTGAATAACCAAACGTCATATAAAAGCCTGAATTAAAGCCAGTACTATGTCCTTTGCCATCTTGAGGTCGGTTTTTAGGAAAACACCCTGGCTAATCACAGAACATTCCAGTGGTTTCAATTATATCCAAGATACTTTTTTTTATTGAGGGTGAAATCAAATCCCAATCAGAGTATAGAAAGAAAAATATCCCTCAGTAATAAAAAATTCCATTTTGGAATAAAATTTTAATAGGTAATAAGAGGTGAAATAAAATTGGCATTGGTGTAAGACTCTAGAAATGACTTTAAATTACCATTACATATTCAAAATGTTATTAAAGTACTAAGACCTAAACTTAATTCCGCATATTACTTAGAATCACAAATCTGTATTTGGACCATATTTACTATGTGATTCTGAACAAGTTGATTAAAGTCAAGCAAGCCTCAAGTTCTTAAATTTTTAAAGTTTTTTAAAAATTAAGTTTACTGCCAAGTTAATATTACTAGTAAGATGTTAACAATAGCTATTGTTAACTAATTATACAAATGAAAATCTCTTTTAAAATTCTTGAAAAGCCCACATCTATAACATTTAAAAATATTCAAAGTTGTCAACCAAGATATATGCTGATTTTCACTTACTCAGTGTGGGATCTTCTTTCCTGTCCAAGGAAGGATTTACTTTTTGACAAAGGAGTGTTAAATCAAGGGACAGTGCATTTAGTACAAGGGGTTTTATTTATAGTCTTATTGACTGCAAAGGATTTCAAGGCAGTTACATTGATAGTGCATGCATTTTAAACTCAATTTATGCAATATTCCATGAACAGCTGAGCTAACAAATGAAATTTTCATTCAAATGTAAAACATAATTGATGCTTTCCAAAACCTCATCTATTAACTCATTCTAAAGGAGTGTTTGCATGCTTAGCATCCAGGGAGTCATGTCAGATTCTCCTGGGATCAGCAGGTTGAAAAGCTCTGCAAGTGCGAAAGTTTAATAAGGACTGGATTAAAATATCTGCAAAAAAAAAAAAAAAAATACAGTAAATTAGAGTCATAGAAAATCTTGAAAAGATGCTAAGTTTTTAATTTCATTTTTACTTGAACACCAATTAACTTTGCAATTGAGACCAGTTTCATGAAAAAATGCTTATGAGGCTACATCTGTTTTAAATGGAAGTCATATTCACCACCAGCTCTTTCTCAGAAAAAGAAATATAACTTATTTAAATGGATGTCATCTTAATATATTCTCTATTAAAACTCAACTGCATACAGCAAATAACACATTCTATTCCAAACTGTTATTAATTTCTTGGTCTAAAAACTAAATAAAGTTCTTTTAATTAAGGAATTCTCGGATCTTAATTTAAGAATGTTGAAATTATAATATGGTACAATGGAGTTTGGTTGTGTATTGGTGTTTGTTTTGTTTTACAGTTTATGTATGAAATAATAATTTTCATCTACTTCATAGACATTTAATTTTTTGAATTGTCAGTGATCATGAAATGTATAAATATTAATCAGCTTCACTGTTACATAGTTGCACTTAGATTTTAAAAGAAACTAGACATAGCAAACTTTCACTTCAATTATACTAGCATTGATTCTCTATCCAAAAAGCACTTTCCTTACACATTGGCTATAAAACTTATTTCATGAAAGTCTATATGAAGTTAGCTGCTTACATAACTACATAACCATTTCTCATGTGAAGCTGTCGGAATGGAAAAAGCTGCTGTGGAAAATTTTTCTAACTCCTTCAAACTGTCTGTTTGGATTCATTGATTCCAATATTAGACAAACCTAAACACAATAGGCAGCTTTGTCTTTTAAAGCTGAAAATCTGTGATGAATTGTCCCCTTGATTTTTGTGATTTGACGGTACTAAATTTTAAAGATATTTCTGCAAAAAGGAAATTGGTAGGTATGCCTTCATCATAACTGCCTTTCTGATTGATAATCCTATAGAAAGTTCTTATTTTTAATTTCATTAATTTATGCTATGAAAATGGGAAATAATGGGAAATCTCTAAATTATCTTATTGATTTACATCCTAAGTCATTTGTTTCATTTGTGTCTCAGGCAAGTTGTCTTAAATTTGTTAAGAATATCCTGTACTCAGCTTAGATAACTGAGTTTGAAGTAAAAATCTGCAATTCTGCAGCATATAGTGGGTAATTAAAACCACAAGAGTGAATGAGCTCACCAGGAAAAGAATGTAGCATCCAAAGGAGAGTGGAAAGGAGTAGGCAAGGGAAGGCAAACAGATGAGGAATGGCTGAAGGAAGAGAAGACTCTGAAAAGGGCTAAGAATAAATAGTAAAGAATTCAAGGCTCTGGGCTCCTGGGCGGCTCAGTGGGTTGGATGTCCAACTCTGGATTTCATCTCAGGTCATGATCCCAGGTCAGTGTGGTCAGGCCCTGCATCCATCCAGCTCTGGGCTGAGCCTGGAACCTGCTTAAGATTCTTTCTCTTTCCCTCTGCCCCTCTCCCCCTGCTTGTGCTCATTGCTCTCTCTGTCTCTTTCTCTCTCTGAAAGAAAGAAAGAAAGAAAGAAAGAAAGAAAGAAAAAGAAAGACTTCCAATGCATAATGAGATTTAACAGAGGAAGCCGTCAAAAAGAAATGAGTGGTCAGTAGTGCCATATAAAACAAAAAGAGTCCAGTAATAATAATATAGACTCAAAGTGTTCATTCACCAATACAGTTCATTAGTGATTTCTGCTTCTGAGACTCATAGGGCTCTTCTCTAGGAGAGGGGAGAGCCTAGTGTGCTGAAAAATGAATAACACTGAATTGAACATGAACAAAACAATACATTATTTTCAAAGATTTTCAGCTTAACTTAAAAGATTAAGGAAAGATCTTTTTTTAAAGATGGCTGCCTTTATTTCAGACAAATTAAGTGGAAGGAACAGAATATAGTGGGGAAAGCGTGTGTAAAAGCGGCGTGGGTGAGAGAGAAATTTAAGTAAACACCATGCGTCAAGCACATTTGTAAAATCCTTTACATTTATTATTAACTCATTTAACATTTCTATCAATCCTACAAGAAAGATACTATCATATTCATTTTTCAGATTAGAAAGCTGAATTACAAAGAGGTTACATACCTCCCCTACTATTACACTTCTGACCAGGTATGCGTTACTATTTGAGTCTATTCAGTTTGGTATCAGAATCTAACTCTACATTTTGTTGAAGGTCATACACAGTGAGGCCTTTTAAGATTATTCTTCCTTCCTACTAAGCCTCTTTTTCATCAGCCACCTCTGAAACCCCTAAGCAATATCCTTCTTAGTGTGTAGTTTGTCACTGATGTAAGATATGATGGAGTACACTTCAGCCAAAGTAAATCTGAGAGAATATAAGCTAATATGTTCAGGTGAATAGCCCATTGGTGGTCTCAGTTAACCAAAAACAGGTAGTTATTAATAGCAACTATATGTGTTCTATGATTGGGTTCAGTAGAATACTTAACAAAATATATTAGTGGTTAATACTTCCCTAGTTATTATTTTTCTAGATGAGCCTTTTGATAGAAATTGAAGAGATCTTGTTCTCTGACAAAAATGTGTAGTGTAGGTCCTTGCACAAGAAGCGGTCATTTTGATAATAATAAAATAATCTCATTGTACCTGAGCTCTCAAAGTCCTTGACAGCTAGAAATGCCAAATACAGTGGTGTTATTAGGAGCTGGCCTGTCACTACAGGCCAGTGTTCTCCATTTGAGCATATAAATTCCCACAGAGCACCAGCACATACAGGGCTGAAACCATATATGAATCAAGAACAAAGCAAGACTATTCTGTAATCATGCCTGAAAACAGATAAGAATGGAGACATTGCCCAAACCACAAAAAATGACCAAATATCCCCCTATCCTACCTATATGAGTAGTTGCTACTTCTTCATTAAGTACTGCTTTAGCCTCATTCTGTTCTTCCTTCCTCCTAAATACGATACACAAAGAGACCTAGTCATACAGTTACCTGTGTTCTTTGCAGCATCCCGTGCAGAGCAAACCTCACTTCCTTGAACCCTCCCTCAAGTCAACTAACAAATACCCAAAACATAGGTGTCCTTTCCAACACTCTTGCTGGGCTATCCTGTAGTTTCCCTGACTGCAGTGAGCAGTAACCCAGCTTGATCAACTATGAGTATGTTCCTGCTGCTCTTTGACTGCAGGACATTAAGATGCCCATATTGTCTGCTGCACACATTTAATACTCATCTCTGCAGTTCCCTTCTTGTGTCTTATTTCCCAACTATATTGCTTCTTGTAGGCACTGAAGTGAATTCTCTGAAAGCTTATGTTGGTGTTCTATGTTAATTAATATTAATGAATGACTATTCTCATTGACCAAGTAGTTCACATTTTCTTTCTCTTCTTTAGGAGCCAACTACTATTTCAGCAATGGAGCTTTCCACTAAGCAGGTACTATCGATCATTATGTATTACAATCAATATTCCATGTTTTGTTAATTTTGTGTTTCAAATAGATAAACATATTCATGATTCATCAAATTTCACAGATTTATTAACAATAGTTCCAAAAAAGAGAAAAGAAAGCTTACAATAAGCTAGTAGAGTGAAAATTAAAGGTAATTTTCATTGACTCATGTTTTTGACCAATCTTAACATTCCTATAAATATATTTCTTTGGATCATTATTCATTGCAAATGTTCATATATAGCATTTACTTTTGGGTGATTGTAATATAATTTGCTTCATAATTATTTTAATCTCTCCTTGAAAAAAGCACTGGTGGATATTTCAGGATGTAAACAAGTTTATAATTAAACCTGCATGTATAAACAAATACATTTTATAAGCTAATAAAATTATGCACTGGGCTGTATATGTTTGTAGAATCTTAACTCAAAACTTCATTTTATTTTTTCAGTAGTATTGTATGCTAGAGAAAACATTTAGTTTGGCTACATATAAAAGGAAAACAACAAAACAGTCACTGCCAAATGATGTTATTAAACTCCATGAATTCGGAAGTTAAGGGTAGCATGTTAATAGTCTTTGCATTCACATTGAATTAATGCTTTGGCAAGACACTTCAGAAACACAAATGACTTCTAATGCTAAATTATATGTACAAAACAAATATAATTTTAACTTCTAATAAATTATCTTTCCCCCATAGATGTTGCATAGTCTTTCTACTCAGTATATCAGTGGTAACTTCAAACACACACACACACACACACACACACACAGACAAACAAAAACAAAAAACAAAGAGAGAGTTGGACACTGAGTTGAAATTAATTATTAAATAACCTAGCAGAAAAAACTTGGAGTAGGAAGTTCTTCACTGATTGTTCTGAATACCTATGTACAAAATTGTTAAATATGAAAATCATTCGGCTAATCTTAGTCCTGAATTGTTTACATGTTTTATCTCTGTGCATTATCCCTTGTACAAGACGAAAATACTGTGCCATTAAAACTCAGTGTATATCCTTTCTACACTTACATATCAAAATAGATTGATAATCTCTGAGATATTTAGAGAAACTCAGAGTGCAGATATTATTGACCTGATCCTGTTATCTTACACTTCATAAGTATGTGTTCACCTGTTCTTGCAATCTAAAAACTGTCAAATGTTGGCAAGGAAATCTGGGGACTCCCAGAATGGAAGCGATTGGGATATTCTTTCCTTTAATGATTTTTTCAATTATTTATTTATTCTCTATTTGGCTTCCTTGCCAATCTTCATTACATTGCTTATAGTTTTATAAAATAATTTTTGTTTAAATATTTTTAAGTACTTTAAGAATTGCCAATTAAATGCAACACATTTCACACACACACCTACACACACCCAAAACATCAAAAATACCATGTTTAAAATACAATGATACAAGAAGAGTATTCCTAGCCTCGATTTTTGATTAGTGGAAGTTTGATTACATTCAGATGTGAATCAGTTTTACTCATGCTCACAGAAACTTTCAAAGTGAGGCAATGGTTTCAAGAGGGGCAAGCAGTGTTGCAACTAATTTTCTGGATAAATGGATTCATCGCCTGCTTCTGACCCGAAACTTGTTAAGGAGGATAGTGAGAAAGCCTGTGGTGATGTTAAATTGGGCAGAAAAAGCACATCAGGTTACTTGCGAGTGACTGGATTATGCTCAGTGGTGCCTGCAGGCTTTCCCTATATTTCACTTAGATAGCATGATTAATTTTACAGTTCTTTAATAGTACTGCAGAATAATTGTAAAATGAAAACTAAACTTGAGTTGTATTTAATTTTGGGCATTTTACCACACTTGAAGTTTTCATTACAGTAATTTTTGGTTCTCTTCTTCCCATGTGTTATTTCTCTGGTTTTCTCCTAAAGGGATATGACATATTTAGATACTATTTATTTAGGTAATAACTCCTTTCCAAATCAAATGTCATATTCTTAAAATTTTACAAGTATGAATTTGCTTATGCTTCTTAAGAGTTATTGACCAAACATAGAGATCATTTGATTTCATATGCCCAGCTTAATCAGTAGCTTTTCAAATAGTTCTGATCACAATACAGGGGTCAGCAAGTCCATACTCACCAATGCCAACCATGCTTGTGGATATTGCCACTCCATTTTAACTAATTGCAGAAACGTGACAAGTTTATTTCATTTCTTTATTGATTTGAGATTACTTGCCTTCAATACAATCTAAGTTTTGTTTTGTATTTAAATCATTTTGGAAGAGAGATACAAAGGACTGGAGGGGAAAAGAAATTCCTTACATTAGTTAAGTTCTTTGTTCATATTTTTCAAATCATGGTCAACTGTTACCATGTATCACTTCATTTTTCTTCCCAAGAAATTGAACTACTGCTTCTTAATTAGCCATGGTGTGTAAGATCTTGGTGCAATAATAAAAAATATAGTAAGAAGTCAAACATCCATAGTGTAAACTGTATTCTATATGCTATCTGTACTAGAATATTGATACAAATAGTCTTCACTCCTGGAAGGGAATTGTATTATTTTCCCCACTTATTCCCCTTTCTTTTATTAAAATATAAGTTACTTTTAAGCACAGAATTATTTTCTATATAAGCACTTTTATAACTTCAACAATTTCATAGATTTTAATAGATACATCAATCCTTATTCAATTTATATATATATATATATATAGTTAAACATCATTTATAAATGCAACTTTAATTATATCCATTACTGTCAGGAAATTTGTAATATTAATAAAGCACACCATGTTTCAGAGACCAGCTTTTCTATAACATCTTTTTCATTTATGTAGTGGGGAAATTAAAATACACTTTTGAAGTCTTTTCTCTGATACATGATTTAGTATTTATACCACTTTCATTTAAGGCTTACGATCATTCAGTCCTTTAGTACAAGAAAAGGGAGCTATGATACTAATTTCAGTAAAATGTGGAGAAATCACAAAACAATTTTATTTGTATCTTATTTTGCATTTACGTATATTACAACATCATTTCAATGCTACATCGGCTAAACTTTGTTAAAGGCATTTTTAAAATTGTATTGAAATCCTGAATTAGTTGCTACTAGAAAATTTTTCTGCATATTTTACTTCATTTAGTAATTGTAAATTCACTGGGTATAATGACATTGTAGAATAATCTGAATGTATACTTTAAAGATCTAGTTAAAGTTACCATTTTGTGAATAAGGAAGTCTTAGATAAATTAAAGGAATGGCTCAAGATTTACACAGAGAATTATTATAGGACAAGATCTAGAATCTAAGTACCTTGATGCCCAATATAGCACTTTTTCCCACTGCACCTGAGCTTTCTGTTGGAAGTTTACTGCACCAGCCAGCTTGTACTTGATATTCCACATATGATGGTCTTTCCACTGAGATGCAATTTAGTAGTTTTGTTTAAAGAATCTTTCTGGAGATAGTGCAAGGACAAGACAGTTGACCAGTGAAAATCTTCACAAATGCAAGCACCAAAACTTTGCCTTGCCCCTTCTTATAGGAGGGCAGACTACATCACAAGCAATGGAATAGAGCATCCAGGAGTGAAAAGCAAACAATCCCTGGTCAACACCAACCAGAACACATGTCAGTAGAGATATACTGATTAATCAAAATTAGAAACAGTAGAAATAAAAACAACTTTCTAAGGAAAAAACCTTGAGTGTTTGAAAATTATATTACTCAGTGTCTTCTTTTATTTAAATTTTTATTTTTATTGAGATATAATTGATATGTAACCATTACTGTCTTCCATTGGCTTTATACTTTAAAATATACCTGTTTGAGTCAAGTATTACGATTTTGGTCCTAATCTTTTTAAAATTATCTGCTAGGCCAATAATGACAAAAATGCCAATAATAGGATTTTTTAAACCCCACTAGTAAAAAATTATTTTTGATATGTATAAGTAAGCTTTCTTTTAAGAAAGAAGATTTTTAAAAACAGGATAGTATTGGGACGCCTGGGTGGCTCAGTCGGTTGGGTGTCTGATTTCGGCCCAGGTCATGATCTCAGAGTTCGTGGGTTTGAGCCCCGCGGTCGGGCTCTGTGCTGAAGGCTCAGAGCCTGGAGCCTGCTTCAGATTCTGTCTCCCTCTCTCTCTGACCCTCCCCCTGCTCGCTCACGCTCGCTTGCTCGCTCTCTCTCTTCAGAAATAAATAAAACATTAAAATTTAAAAAAAAAAGAATTAAAAAAAACACAGGATAGTTTTGTCATCACCATAAACTCTTTCCACAGCAACAACTTTATATTGGTTCCACCACCGGGGTTGCCCAGCTCCCTCTACACCGATGCGATATTTATGGGAAAGCATGTGCGGAGTGCTGCCTTGCCCGAGACCCTTACTGTGCCTGGGATGGCTCTTCATGCTCTCGCTATTTTCCCACTGCAAAGAGGTGAGAAATATTAGAAACAAATATAAATGTTTGTTATTTATTTTACCTGATTCCATTTTTAACAGCTTTCTGCTTATAAGTACATCACATTTTTCTGATGAATGAAGAGTATTTTAGAGGGGTTTTGGGGGTTTCTTTCCCTTAAATAGTTAAAACAACCAGGAGAATGTGTATAATTATAGCTGAGTACTAAATGTAAGGGAACAAATGGTTTTAATAAATTACTGAGGGAAATCTAAAACATTACAATACTATCCTTGAATGTTGACACTTGGAAATGAGAAAGTTTTGCAACTTCCTTTTATACAGAAGAAAAGTGATGGCCAAAACCACAGAGAAAGTCAGAATCACAATCTACACTGGGCCTTGTGCCTTTTGACCAAAATGATCTTTTCTCCAAAAATGCTCTTCTTTTTTTTATCTAGCAATATTGTATCCTGGTTTTAAATTTTAAAAAGGCAATATTTGTCCTTGAGTGAATGGAAAATTTACAAAGAAAATAATTTTTTACTTTTAGATTCCTAGTACCCAGGGACTCAACTATAAAAAGCCAAGAGAAGATTTTCCAACTTTTAAAGATATAACATTTTTATAGAATGATGATTAATTAGCATCAAATTGTATCTTTATTTGGCTCCCCCCAAATTTAAAGGCCACTGTATTATCATAGTATCATCTTGTATTTGTAGTGTTTGAACTTGAAGTATAAAACAACATAATAAAGTAGCTATTTCTTAATATTTGTACATGTATTGCACAAATATCTTAAACATGCTCTTAATACTTAAAAGCATTTTTTGGCTTAAATCGAAGTTGCTAAGACATGCCTAGAATTTATTTAAAAATATATGTTTAGAAAAAATGTAGATGTAAGTTGCTGTCTAGGACATTGAGGGTGTGTGATCTAGTACCATATAGGAACACTGTTAACCCTCAGGAAACTCTTAGACACATCCTAAATGTTGTACAAAGTTGACTGACTTCTGCTTGAAAAAATAAAAACACTTACTTAATTTGAGAAAATATTTTTCTCAGCATATTCTCTACTACTCACACATGGATACCTTTCTCTGTTAATATTTACCAGTATTTAAGAAACAAGCAATGAAAGGTGAGAGTTTAACAGTATATGCATCAACCTATTGAAACATAAAATAGAAGTCAGAGTTACCAAGCCAGTGCGTTTTAGGAGCAAAACAATTTGTTTGAATTTTTTGCAATGGTTCTGATTTTACAAGAAGCTGTGACGTGGATTGTTTTCACTGCTGGTAAGCTGTGTTCCTCAGCATCTGCATCTTTTACAATGTTTTGAAAAAATTTTAGGGGAAAGGAAGAGTCCTAATGCATACCTAAATCTTTTTTTTTTTTAATGTTTATTGATTTATTTTTAGAGAGAGAGTGTGTGTGTGTGTATGCAAGCAGGGGAGAGGCAGAGAGAGAATCCGAAGCAGGCTCCATGCTGTCAAAGTGGAGCCCGGCTTGGGCTTTGAACTCACAAACCTTGATATCATGACATGAGCTAAAATTAAGAGTCAGGCATGTAACTGACTGAGCCTCCCAGGTGCCCCTACCTAAATCTTTTGATTACACACTTCAAATAACATTGGCTGTAGTATTAAATCATCTACAGTTTAATTCTGTCCTATAATCAGTCCATATAGATTTAAACGTTATCTTGTTAATATTATATGTAAATGTGGTAATAGCTTATGCCATTTAATAAATACAATTTTCTCAAGCCTTCAACATTCAGAATTGAAATAACATGTTTGCATTCTTGCATATAGCAAATGATTTTGTTAGAAATTTAAAACAAGAGTGTCATGTGGAGATGTTGTGTTATCAAATAAAGAAACCATGGATAGATTAATAAGTAGCAATTTTCAGTTTTAATAGCACTAAAATTATATTTAAAGTTGAACTTTTATGGTTCTTAAAATCAGTTAGCTCTAGATGTTTTTAGTGTTGAAAAACATAAGAATTCATATTTAATTAAAAATGAGTATCATTTCCTCTCCATGTGGAAGTGTATATAACATTGCCTAATTTAGTAACAATTCATTCAAATTTTAAGCTTTTTTAATGAGAAAGAAGTTAAAAATAAGAAAACTACATCTATAATAAGTTACAAATATATATTATATATATATTATAAATTAATATAAATAAATATAAATTATATATTTGAAATATGTTTACTGCATACCTACAAATCCAGATTGAAGGAATTATCATTAACACATTTTTGTTGTGCCTTGAAGATTTTACTTAATCCAATTTCATGTGTCTTTGAAAAGGATGTTTAGAGGCCTCACAATTTATATATTCTTTGTGATGGCATTTTTCAAAAACTTAAATGGCAGTAAAAAATGCCTTTCCAAATGCTTTGTGGTTCATATTTCACAAGTTCCCTTGTTGGCTCAATTTTGAAATGTACAACATCTGTTTGATAGTCTCACCAATTCTACAAATAGAAATCTATAAATACTTTAGTCTTCTAAATTTATGAATACAGTAACAATTTCCATGTTTGCAATTCTCAATGGCCTTTGTGAGAAGTCTTTTAAGGGATGCTAACTAACTTTGCAGCAGGATAATTATCATTAAAATCGACACAGAAAACAGTTGAGCAGGTGTCCCAAATCTTTTTCATTATCTGTGTGTAGCCACTCTCCATGATTAGCCTCTTTCCAGAACTGTACATCCTGCGTGCACCACAATGGCTGGAGACAACTTCCTTCTTCCCAGTCAACCACTAGCAAAGGATAAAGAGGACCCCTAGAATGTGTAGCAACTAATATGATCTGAACATCAGTAATTAGGAGAAATTTATTTAGATTTTTATAGGAAATTTGGCTTTTATCTTAGAGTGAGTCCATCCTCTTACCTTCCTCTGACAAAAGATGGCCTTCCTCCACCATATTTGTTACTGTGCTTCTCCTTTTATTCACTTCACAGGTAAATTGGCTTGCAGTCATAGCCCTATGATCATAAAAGAAATGTTTTATAAAAAATGATTGATACAACCAACCAAAAAGGAAAATTGAAAACTGACTTAAAAATAGAATTCATAGAGTTGATGCTTTCAAATTTAACAAAAGCATATTTAAGGAATTACATATAAGTATTAAGAGAAAGAAAACACTCATGGGAATTTTAATTTTTAGGCTCACTCTCTAGTGATCAGAAAAAAAAAGGTTAATCCAGGTTATTGAAGAAATGGGTTGCTATTCAATTTTCCTCAGAATTTAAGATGCTAAGAATTTTGGGGCTTCTAGATATTAGATTCTTATTGACTGACACCCAGTAGCACAAAACCATGAATCTTCTGTTATTACTTTGAAAGTCTTTACTGCATTGTTAGCACGTTTGGGTACTGTTTCCCATTTTGATCACCTTGGGGCCTACTCCTACAGGTGTAATGACTTGCTTTTAAAAAACTCTTTAGTCAGATATAGATTCATCTCTTCCTATAAACTCCAGGAGTCTTTGAGTTTTGATTCTTTTTAATCCCTGTGACAAATTCCCAAGAAGGAATAAGAATGCCATAATACCTTTTAAATGTAATTGTTTTAGACGCACAAGACGACAAGATATAAGAAACGGAGACCCGTTGACTCATTGTTCAGACCTACAACACCATGGTAAGTTACAACACTTTATTTTTCAACCTGCTAACATTAGGCTAAAATCATAAGCAAGAGTGCATACCCACACGTGGGCATGCAGGCCACATACCTGTGCATTCAGGAAATGCAACTGAAGAGAAAGGAAATCCAGAAGAAAGAAAATTCTAAAGAATACTAAGTAGTGAATTATATTTTATTATTGCAGTTATGACAAATTCAAGTTTGAAACCCTTACAAAAATTAAATATCAATGTTCTGATATTAGCAAAAAGAAGCCAGGTTTAAGTACATGCTTTCATAATAATAGCAACGTGAGAGCAATAGGTAACAAATATACTCATTTAAGTATATTGAAGAAAAAAGTAGAGTCTTAAAATAAGCCATGAAAATCATTCATTAATATGCTGATGGTAAAGATCCATTATATTGTTACTGGGTATCCTAGTCAAGTAGAAGGTAATTCAGGTACATTCATACTAATTTACCAATAGAATATTTCCTTGAACTGGAGATTTTGGACTGTTTCATTTTATGCTTCCTAAAACACGTCAAGTCCAATTTAATGTTAAGTTGCTTATTTAATGCTGGAATATCAACCAGACTTCCTTTAAAATGCAGCAGAATTGTAGTATGCCTCACTTCCCCAACTTCAGCTCTTTACAAAAACAATAATGAGCCTGTGCTTCCCTCTGCTGGGAAGACTTATCCATGACATCACTGCTAACAAATAGTTCATAGTTACAAATAGCTGAAATGTAAAATGGAAATATTTTACATGTAATTAAATATAATTATTCTGTTCACCTTTTTGTTGCCATTTTACACAGAACTTAAAGGAAGATCTCATATTTTTATCAGTTAACTTGGATTTGATCCACTAATTCTGTGTATACAATATTCATGTTCCATGAATGTTAAGAAAGAAAACGTACTGCACAAATAACACCCCAACTGACATTCTCAGACCTAGATACCTTCTGAAAGTCAGATCCCCTTTTGTGTATCCTATATGTGCTAGTATCTGATTCATGAATGCTCACAAGGTTTTAGGGGATGCCAATAATAGGAGACAAGTAGCCACAAAATGAGCCTATATTTAAGGTCCATTTTGCTTGCTTACAATTTCTTGCCAAGGATATTACTATCTGTTATTATTCTCATTATAAAGAAAAAAGACGCCACTGCATTGGACAAAATGTTGCAAAATTTTTTTTGTCTTTATACAGCTAGAGTACATTATTGACATATTTTTAAATTTTTCAAACAGCATTTTTCAGTTGGGCAATAAAACATTCACTAGTCTTCCATTAATCTATTTCTTGCACAAATATTGTATTATAGTCATTAGCATTTAAGTAATGAAGTATTATAAAATACTAATTCATTAAAGAATCTTTTTGCTTAGATATGGAGAAGCTAATGATAACTGCACGTAAAAGAAACAAGACGACGTAATAGAGTTCATTTCTAATCAGACTTTAATCTCCACATCAATATGGACTTTGTTATTTTGCTCATTCTTAGATTTCTAAGGTTATAAGAAGATGCAATTTCATGAATGTTGTAGATATTTAATAAACTTGTTGAATAATTAAACTAAATGTTGGAAGCAATAGCAAAGTTACTGTTTCTGGTTTTCAGTAAAGATTTGAACTAAATTGCATCTGTTGTTTATCATTAATATGACTTAACAATACATTGCTGTTAGTATACATTGCTCTTAACAACATAATACTTAAAAATAGATCTCTCTTTAGAAACCATAATCAACCTATCAATTAACTAATAAATAATAAGTATACACTACTACATGTAGGATAGTATGCTATGTTTTGAAGTTTGCTGGAGAATTACTGATGCATCCACTTGTTTAATAATCCAATTTCTTCATAGACCCAGTTGATATTTCTTCAAAATAAAATATATGCCAGAGTCATGAGCATACACACACACACACACACACACATAAAGAAAAGCTGACCAAAGGAATATTTACTTTTTTTTTAAAAAGTGATACTGTGAATAAATAAATCTTGACTATTGAATGAATGGGCTTTTGGAAAGTGCTTTTGATTTTAAAGTTGTGTTTTGATGATATTAGAATGATGAAAGCTTATAAAAATTGGGAATATAGAGTTGCTTAGCTATAGAAAGTAAAGTGAATGTGAATCATTTTTCCCTCTTGATACTTCAATCAAAATCAGTACCATAGGGAAGAAGGGGAATTACTGTCGTTCAGTGTTACCAGTATTAGTGTGTGTGTGTGTGTGTGTGTGTGTGTGTGTGTGTTTGTGTGTGTGTGTAAAAACAGTACTATGTAGATGTTTGTGATATATGGGAGGAAATGGTAAAATAGTCCAAGAAGCTCTGCAGAAATAAAACATTCCCTTTTTGAAGGCCTCTGTATTTCTTGTCTGCTTGTATTACTAATTAACCAAACATAAAAATTATACACCATAGATTACAGTAAATTTCAAATGTTTGAAAACTAAGTCAGGCATTCCCATATGGCCAAACCAAGTCTGACCATTAGAAACCAATTCATTATCTTAGAATAGGTGATGTCAACATTTGAAAGTAAAATGGGGAAAACCCAGAGCCCAGCCCTGTTAAATCATGTATGTTGTCTTGCTAGTGTCACATCTCACATTGAATAAAATATATGTGCTCATATGGAAACATATAAAGATAGGAGATGTTTTCCCAGAAAGCTGCTAAGCAACTTGAAGCCAAATTATACACTTCAGGACAATCAGTTCCAGCTGTAATGGTAAACATTCTGTAACACTCTATATTTTACATATCCTGAGGTTTTAATAGAGAGACTGTATAAAATAACTCTACATTAAGGTGAAAGAAATTTTGCTCTCAATGAAACCTTTAACACTCACTCAGCTCTTTGCTCTCTCTTGTGTAAAGTCAGCACTAGTCGTGAGCTGGCCTAGGTGTAACATAGAAAAATCCAGCTCCGTTTCCCCGTAATCTAGTATACTCTTTTCCATCACTGGTGGCTGTTCATCTAGGGAACTTTTAGTATAAAACCCTAAACATAGTATGCTGTCAGATCTTGTCTTCTCACTCACACCTCATACAGAAGGCTAAAGAGAAACTGCAGGTTGTTTCTAGTATGCTCCCTTCCCTAAAATAACTTGTGCACAAAATTGGAGCTGTCTGACTTTACATCCGAGAGCATGAGTGAGATGAGTGGCTGAGTCAATTTATCTTTCCACCTTGTTTACTAAACAAGAATAAGCCATACTGTGACCTACATGGCCAGAAAGGAACAAGCCATAAGTAACATTTAAAAAAAATTATTCTCACCTTAGATTTTTGAATCTTTGAAATACTTTACATCCTAACTTTAGTTCAGTGCCATCATTGAATTTCACTTTGTGATAGTTCTCTGGGGCGTACTACACACATTCACTTCCCTTCTACAATCCTGTGGTACAATGTCCACAGAATTCAGTCTTCTTAATTATCTCTGCAACTGGTTCATCTCAACTTGTGTCTTGGTTGGCATCAGCATTGTTCCAAAATTTCATAAAGTGTTCATAAATTTCATTGTTCCATAATTTCATTTCACTGCTCTTGCTAGTGTCATCTTTAGGGTCCACACTGCTATAAATGTATTTCATAGCAAAGCTAATCTTGTCTGTATATTAGCCTATTTTATACACATAGAATATAGAAATATTAGCCTATTTTATACACATAGAATAGAAATTCCAACTGAATCTGAGCATTTAGGCCCAAGAGAGGCCTCAAGATTTGATAGATGAACATGATGTCCGCCCTTAAAAAAGAGAGAGAGAGAGAGAAAAAAAAAACCTGACTTTAATAAATTACCAAATTATATCAAGTCTCAGATGTCACTGAATGTTGAGGCACCATTTTTTAAGGACTGCTAAGAAAGAAAAACTGCCCAACTTGGAGAATCTGATAGTGGTGCCAGCATCAAGCCCGTTTGCACTGTTTCAGTATTAGTGCAAAGGAGAAATAAACTTCCATGCAGAAGACTGCAAGGACATTTGCCTGTTTCAGCTCTAATCACAGGTAGTAGAAAAGGGGGAAAACCATTTTTTGAACCCCAGTATGGTATTCATGGTTTACTTTCTGAGTCTCACCAACATTGTGGAAGAAAACCTTCAGACAAGACTTTAATTTAAAGAGGTGTCAGGTTAGGAGAGCTGCATGTGTCTGGCAAAAAGTAAAAATAAACTCTTTCTAGAAGAAAGGAACTTCAACTCAGGTCAAGAACAACTGTAAGACATTCTTTTATCATAGATATTAAAATATACAAAGTATGCATTGTTTTTAACATTTATTTATTTTTGAGAGACAGAGAGAGAGAGAGCTTGAGCAGGGGAGGGGCACAGAGAGAGGGAGACACAGGATCTGAATCAGGTTCCAGGCTCCGAGCTGTCAGCCCAGAGCCCAGCGCAGGGCTCACACTCACAGACTGCAAAATCATGACCTGAACTGAAGTCGGGTGCTCAACCGACTGAGCCACCAGGTGCCCCAAAGAGTATGCATTCTACAGTGACATTATTGCAGTGTTCTTCTCTATGATTGTGCAAATCCATTTATTCATAGTATATGTGTCAAAGGCATGCTCACACAAACACACATACCTTAATAAGAAGAGGTTTGAACTATTTTGCGCTATTATTGTTCCTTATTAAAGTTTTCAAATATGGCATTAAGAGATCACTTGACTGTTTATACACTCATAATTTTACCATTGTAAATGGTGAAGTTTTTAAAGCATGCTGTGTTTTTTAAATTCCAAAAATAATGGAAACATATTAAAATACAAGATGGTATTTTCATTATTGGTTATGGAAGGTTTCTGCTTCAGTAAATGGGTGTTTTCCATCATCTCCTATCATATCTCTTGGGAAGAAGTAAAGTAAACATTAAAGCCCATGTTTCCTGATATTTAAGTATAAAAAGTCCTATGGTAATTTTGCTCTGGCATATAGATTATATGTGCTTCCTTGTTAAAAACATTG